TCCAAACGTGGTCCCCGTAAGGATATTTAGGCCAAATAAGAACTAAATTGACGGATGAGCAGTGGCAATAGGAAGAGTGGACTTGAAGAGGGAGACACGATCGCCGGGACAAGTGTCTCCTTCTTCAAGACTACTTCCTGGGACTCGTCTCTTCGCTTCTATTGGAAGAGTGGACTACTAGTACAGTGAGGCCTCACGGTTAGCGGTACATAGATTAATAAAACCACAAGTTGGAAGGCGACTAGCCCGGCCATCCTCACCAACTGGGAGATTTTGTACGCAGCTAGCTCCGGCCCTCACCCAGCACCCTCAGCTGGCAGTAAACAATTAGGCAAACTGAAGGCAGATCACTCCCCATCTCGGCCTTAAGTGTTTTAGACAACGTTTCACCTACGTTATGTTAACCGCAGGTTGTATTATCAGGTGAAGACAATCGAAGAGCACACACCGCCTGGGGAAACCGTGGGAGTACATTTCCGTGGAAGCATTGCACAGCAAGTGACCGTTCATGTCTGTTTTATACGGAGTAAATACAGAGCCGGTTAGCGGAAAGGTCCATCCAAACTAGGGCATGCTGCCGGTAAACTCAAGGCCGTTGCATGTGCAGACCAGCGGATGAATTTGGCCACACCCGTTTGAGTCTTAGCGCGGGTTCTGGGTTGACTGAAAATGACAAATGGACAGGAAGCAACCGCCGCTCTTGTCGGTAACATCACTACTCTAGTATTGGTTGCCACCAGCAACGAGGCTACCACCAGGGCTGTTGACCGGAGCTCCGAGGAAAGACGAAATGCTCGAGTACAGTTCTGCGACTGGCGTACATCGGCGGCGCTACCCACATGCAGGCAGGTAAATAGAAACGCGTGATTCCCAAGCCTTACTGATGCTATCAGCACGAACAGCTTTTACTAAACAGAGTCCGAATTACTAGAAAAACCCCCAGGGGAGCACGGCGTCACTTAATCAGGCTTCGCCAGTCCACATCCTCATAGAATTATTGGTGGGAGGCACCCAAAGCGAAGATGCAAAAGGTCCCACTGTGAAGTCAGCTTCAGACTGTTAGACGGGGACGTACGCGCAGGACGCTTGACTGGTTCGTAGTGCAGTAGCGATGCGCTAGAGACGTGAACTCCCAGACCCAGAGAAGAAAGCTTACGTAGGAACGAATAAAAACAAGCTATATTTATCTGTGTAAAACTGTAAAAGAATATTCAATTTTTAAAAAAATCGTCTGAGTGAAAAGGCCGCCAATTGAAGTGATACTCTAGGCGGCTAAAACCGGAAAGAGTAATTACAAAGTGAAAAAAACAGTGTACAGGAACTCTATTAGTGAGTTGGACGCAAGGGCGTGAAGGAGTCTTATCCCCCCAACCCAAAAAGGCCGCTTACGGTCGAAATTGGAATGTGTGCATGCACTGTTGTGCATATCTGTCGTTAACCGTTTTTTGAGACAACGGAAAAGTAAACTAAGTATCAGGAAGAAAACAACGGTCACACTTGTGCCTTTCGCGGCTGATGAAATAAACAAAAAGGTAAAATAAATAAGGCAACTTTGACGGGACGGGTGCGAAAGTGCCATGCCTTCCCTTGAAATATGAGCAAATATCAGGCAAGCAAGGCTGAACGCCCTGGGGACAGGGAGAAGTGGGTCCTCTAGGTAGGTCGTCGGAGTTGTGAAATGGTTGAGGTGGATGGCCGTGGCGTCACACCGGCGACGCGAGTCCTGGGAGCTGGCGGTCGCGTCCGAGTCATGGTTGGCCTAGGCACTCCGGCAGGGGGTCGTGAAATGTTAGCAGCCGTGGCCGGTCTTGGGGGAGCGTTGACCCGAGACACAGGGGGCAGCGGTGCCGCCGTGCGAGCGCCCACAGTTCGGACAGAGGCTGCAACAGGTCGCGCCAAAGTCGCCCGCAAGGTTGGTCTCGGCAGACCAGTCGGGACAGATGCAGGGGTGACGCGACTATCGTTTGATGGTAGTCTAGTCGTTGTGGTGGCGACCGGACGCGGCCTAAGTTGCACTGTCGGGGGACGAAGGCCGGATCTTTGGGGAAGACCACTGGGATGCGGTGCCGCAGTCGCCGAGGGAGCACCTTTCAGTGGTGGCTTGTTAGTCGTCGTGGGCACCGGTGTCGAGGAAACAACAGCTTCAGAATCCGCACTCGCTTTTAGGTCCGTTGGTAGAACAAGTGAGGAATCGATGGACGCAGTGGTGGGCAACGCGGTCTCCGACAGACCAACAGTTTCCGAGACCCAGGCTTCCACCGCGCTGGCGGGACTCACGGGATTCATGAGGTGATCTGTGTAGCTCAACGGGCGGGGATTTACAGGAGTTGCCAAGTTATCATCAAATCGTGTTCCACTTCCTACTGCCGTAGTTGGAGTTGGTGTTTCGAGGGCCGCAGAGGTCGGCGTGCTCTCCTTCTGAGGAATATCCAGCTTCGGGGGTATCTTTCGTGAGCGGTTCCGCATTCGCACAGGAGAAACTGATGGCCGAACTGGGGGTGGGACGCGAGCTGAGGCCGATCCTGCACTGCCGCTGGAACTAGTTTGCTCCAGTTTATCGACAGAACCACCCTCAACGTTGTCATTACCGCCTTCTGAACGAAGAGTCCTGGTCTTGCGGCCATAACTCTCACTGGACTCACGCAGAGAAGCAGCCTGTTGTTTAGCTAATTGGAAGGGGTCGGTAATAGAAGTGCCTGAGCCATTAGCGGGCTTCATGGACTTCCGGTTAGACCCATCTTCAATTGTACCGCGCTGAGGTCCAGGAAGGACTGGTGGACTGTGGCTCCGCATAGGCATCGTAGCCGACTGGGCCGGTGAGGCTGCCCGGGCAGAACTTACACCTGTGTCGTCAACAGAAGTTGGCAAGTTATCAGTCGACTTCCTCAGAGTGATCAAACCTTCCGCGGACTTAGTTAGAAGGTTTTTCAACCTCGCCGCCCTCATAACCTCCTCCGCCGAGGCGCGCAGCGACTTGTCTTGCTCGATTACCATCTTCTGAACGTCCTCCGATGTGATACTTCGTAGGCTAGTATTGGACGTGGATAGCTTTTGAGCTTCTAGGAGATCGTTCGCAGAACTGCTGCCTAACGCGGCGCGTTTTCTGTCAATTGGCGGGCGACTACGAGCTGCAGAGGCTTCAGTAGCCTTTGCGGGACGGCGTGCAAAGAGGGGCACATTCTCGCTGGCGACTGGTGCGAGCTGTGGGTCGGGCTCCGGGGTTCCGGTGGACCGGTTTGTCGCAACGAGCTCCTCTTTGCTGCTATCCAAGGAATGTGTAAGACAAGTGCCGGAGCGGTTCTTCGCGCGGAAACTGCCACTTGAGGCCCGCAGATGAGCTTCCTGAAGGCGCGCTTCCTCAAGCACGTCGACTAAACTGCCCGAGCCTGAGTTGGAGCCGGTGGTGCCGTGGGGGAGTTTCGACATAATTCCGAGGGCGTTCGCAGAGAGGGAAGTAGGTAAAGAAGAACGCACCTCTTTCTCCCCAGCGGGCAATTGAAGTGAAGACATGAGAGGGGCAACCGAGGGACCGACATCCGACATTTTGTGTGGGGGCGCATCGAGTGGACTAGCCGGAATGACTGGCAGGCCGTCAGGTCCACCTCGGCGAAGGCCCTCGCGAGAGTTCGAAGTGCCTGTAGCGGGATATCGAGCTGGTGATTCACTCATTCGGGGCGCAAACTTCTCAGAAAACCCAAGGCGCTGCGCTCTGCCGGCAGTGGAGACCTCGGCTGATCCACGCAGAGAATTCTGCCCGCTGTTCGAACGCTGTTCACTACGCGCCGCCGACGCACGTAGGCTGTTCTCCTCTTGGCGCGCTATTTCAAGAATGTCAAAAGTGCGGTTTGTTGAATGGGAATTTGCATTGGCGTTGTAAGTCAGACGACGGGGTCCCGTAGTGGGTCCCTGGAGCGACAGATTTAGAGGCGGTGGTTTGGGGTTGAAGGTCTCGTGACTACGACGACTATCAAAGGAACCACGAACGCTGGGAAACACGTCGCTCAAATCGTCTGCATCATAAGTCTGATTCAGTTGACTCTCCGATCCATCATAGCTGTCTGCTAATTGTTTATTGCCATTAGTATGTAGTAGAGCGGAATCTGGGCCTTCTTTGAGCATGTTTAGAGACTCCTGGAAGTTAGAGAATACAAAGAAAGAGGAGGAATCAGTGAGGGATGCCGCACAGTACGTTGTGATAGAACAGCTGGTAATAAAATTGGTCAGTTAGACAGTAGATTAAAACCAAAAAGAGAGGAAATGGGTCTCATACGACATGGGCTTGCGAAGAAAAAGACGTGACTGCCAGGGCGACAGTTTCATTACACTAAAATAATACAATTGCTGCTCCAGAGAACTAGCGTACTTCTTTGCAACAAGAACCTGAGATTGGAACGTTCGCTTGTATTCATGAACGGTCTATGCCTTTCCAGGGATTGGTAGCTAAGCAAGGAAATGTACCGATTTATCCTAAGGACAAAATCTATAAACAGTTAAGTCAATATGGTTCCCCAAAAAGATTACATTTCGAAAAGCTCTTCATTAATTACTACCAGACAAAATACCCGAGATATTCGAGGCCAAAGACCTAGGTATTCCAGATGGATCAATGAAGAGCCATTCTTTAGTAGAACAGGACAATTCGCAGACTTCTCTGAGCACGCTGTTTACTACCGCGACTGAAAGTATCACTGGTGCAAAGAAATCCGAACAGCACTTCCAGATTTTATACCATACTAAACAGTGAACATGAGAAAATTGGTGAAACCTTCAAATCAAAGGGTTACCTCCACATACGCAATTCATCACCAAAATTTTGTTAAACTGTAGGTCAGTTCGTTAACAGAAAGACAATACCGTTACTAGCCTAAGTTTAAGGACTCACTATCAGTCACTCTGGAGGCCGTATTTCGGTAGTCAGGATGACAAGTACTCAAGTTTAACAAGTACTCATGGTTAATGATGAAGCGGACGTCATTTGGGGATGGCGTAGTTGTGACCGGCAATTAGGACGAACTCGTATAAACCTTCTAGCCAAATCGAAGGCAAAAGAGATCAATAAAACACTGACAAGTCAAGTGGGTACCTTTGAGTATGTCCGAGCTAGGGCATTGTCCAGTTTGCTGTCATGACGCTCCGGACTCTTTGAAAATCGAAGGGGGGTTAAATTTTTGTCACCGTGTCGATTAACTTTGGGACTTGAGGTAAAAGGGTGCCTCGGTGGCGCTAGAAGGTTGTTGGTATTGTCATTTGAAACATTATTGAGGACGGCATAAGTACCCTTCCTAGCACTCCGGCCCCTTATCGGCTGAACAGTAGGTTTCAGGGCTGCACCAGTGGAATCATTCTCAAGGGCCTCGGATGCGGCCAGGGATAGGGTTGAATGGTAGATGCTGCTTAATTTCTGGTCTTTTCCATCATTCTTTGTCAAACCCTCGGCCTTCCTCTGGGAGTCAGTTTGGGCAAGATGTTGGAGGTGAATCAACTCGTTTAGGCGATTCAGCAGACCACGCGAAGCATCACGGATCTCTCCTGCACACTCGAAGGGTTCTCTAGCCCAGGCAGTGAGAGCCACTTCGTCCTCGTAAGTGGGAATGCCGAGAGACTCCCCGGATCCTTTGGCAGCCAGAAATGGATCAAGCCACCAACTAGCGGGACCCAGGCCTGCCTCCTCCTGTAGAGCGTCGAAGTCGGAGTCCGTGAGAGGTCTGTCGAAAATAGGCTCGCCCGCGAGGAACTCCTTGGATGGCCATTTACAAGGCCCACCAGGACCAGTGCTGGATAGTGAGGCGGGTGGTTCATGTGGCAGAGTCATAGAGACAGGGGTCAGTTTTCACAGCCTAGAATGGAAGATGAACAAAAATGCGCCGAATAGAATAAACAATACGAAAAGATTACTGCTTGGGACGAGTGTCGCATAGGTATGAGCTTGGTCTTTAAGGAGAGAGCACAGGCATAAAGCACCTGTCCGCGTAGACTGTTGAGACCTAACCGACAGTACTGAAGTGCAGCAGAGTATATCTCAAAAACAGGACAAAAACGAGCGATAAGAGGTAGCTCAGGTTTTACTAAGTGGGTAAGCCGCTGACCCCACAATGGACTACGCTTCTGCGACATGTATATCAAGACGCACTAGACGAAGGCCTGCTGTTAGGCCAGTCACTACGTCTGATTTAATTTCAATTCAATTTGGCAAGGTAGGAGGGAAGCACGGGTTAGGAAAGAGGGAGAGAAGCAAAGTGTGCGCCAACCCCAATTACAATAAAATCTGATGTATTGCAAAACTACCCCCAACGCGCTAAAATTAGTCGCTTGGAAAGTTATCACCTGGTAAGTTAGCTCAATCTTCCCCCAAGCCAAGAGTAAGACTGTAATAGCTCCCTCTTAGTATGGCTCCAAGACAACTTATGTTGACGAGGGAGACGAGAACCACTGAGCTCTGGTTAGTGTGGAGTGAGAGATCAGTGGCGACACGTGTAACCGGGATCTGTGTTAGGTCATCTACTGGGCCTACGTCCATTAAAAAACACCTACACTTAGTTACGCCACTGAAGCACAAGAAGAGTGTGGGAAAAGGGTGGTGCTTAAGTTACATTTGATACGAGACAGGGAGTGGTCACCATCGCTCGCAGCTGATGAACCACCGGATAAGCGTATTGTTGGCAGTCAACTATACGGGGTAGCCTAATGGGACAAAGAGAGGCTAGTACTATGGGATTCATTGTACATCCCGCACCCTTGTCTACTTAAAGTTTGCTAATGGAAGGTTGCCATTAAAATGTAAAAAAAACTATATTGCTGCGAAACTGGTCAACAGCGACACACTCATTTTATTTGCATTATCTGCTCCACCTTGCCCATCTTATAGAAGTGCTCAAGTCGGTCTTACTTGGAAATTGAGCACTGTTCCAGCAAAGCCGTGGGACGATGAAGACGAATAAACCCCATCTTATGACGGCCAACTAGTTCCGTGTCATCATACCACCTGAATTGTGGCTTACCAAACTTTCTGATCGTCAATATTAGGCGCGCCATGTTTCCTGCCCATAAATAGTAGCAGTTTGTACACAAAGTGCCTCCTGACTAGCGACCAAAGGGAGCAAACTATATCTTTCTTTGAAAAAAAACAGGAGTGTGCAATAAAAGCATGAAAAAGAGAAGGGGTGGGCAGAAGGGTGAGTAAATAGAGGCAGAATGTCTAGAAAAAGTAACACCCAAAACACTGACACTGTGGATTAGTCGAAAACGACTAACACGCTATTCTGCGTAAAGAACTCGAGCGATAGTTAGGTGATCTCATGTTGGCATAACGGAATGACGAGAGGTCTGGTGAACCAAATAATGAAAGTCCGAAATTCCTGCTAGGCACGCCTAGCCTAAGGTGCTGAACAAGACACCTGAGGGAGATTAATTTCAAAAGTCCTGCAGCCCAAGAACACAGTTTGTGAGACACATAGAAGTAGTTTACCATACGGACACGAAATAAAAGTCCAGATGTGTGGTTTGCCGATTTCGTGCAGCTGTGTGAGAACGAGTACCTCATACAGCTAAAAGTAATTATACATTCCCATACCTCTTAAGTAATGACACCAAAGATTCGGAAGAGAAAAGGCACTCAGGCATGTGACGGGAATAAATGGCAATCTTCACAAAAGGAAGCCGAGAAAATGTGGTGCGGTAAGCGCGAAGGTAAGAGCTTACACAGTATTAAGCCGGGAGTGTACGTTCAGCATTCTCCACGTAGTTAACAAGCCTATAGGCGACTTCTGAGACGGACGCAGAACCCACGAAAATGGGGCCAAAAGAAATGCAGTCCGTGCTCACAGCAGACATTTGTCTAGACAAGTCGGTATTTGAGGAACAAAGATCGAAAGAAGCGGCAGCCGCGAGAAAAAGCTCCCATAAGGAAAGAGTTCGGCAAACGTTTTGCGTTCCCTAATAGCAAGGAAATACGAACAATATGGACAATGGTTGCCCGTGTGGTCTGATGTCGACAATCGAAACTTCTTAGAATTTTAACGACTGCGTCGGACGGTAACTCTTCTTCACATTGTCGCATAGTAGTTCCTGCCGCACTGCACCTCTCACCATTCATCGGTTACTGTCCAGGAGTCCTACAACCCAACAGTCTCTCTGGCTATCGATTTCTGGACAGTGCAGGGAGACAGAGATTATATACTCCACGTTGACCTAATCCCCTCATCTTCTGTTGGGTTGTAAATTACTATGACTGAGGAGGAAAATAACAATGGCAACATGCGTCCAAAGTGAAATTCAAAATCCCCCTATGACAGGACCACTGCCGCAGCTCTCATCTGCGGTAGGGGTAACAAATGTCTAATTCGTTCCCACTTCAAAAGTTCGCAACAGAGGCCAATGACTCCGGGGCTACTTTGCCTGTAGGCATTTCGCCCTAGTACACAGGTATGCATATCTACCTAAATAACATGTCCTTACTAGTGAACCACAGCCGCCGACATAGAATTCAACGTCACCAGCCTGTCTCACGGCGAAAAGGTGCTTCTTCGAAGGAGTGTCTGCATTGGCTTGTTAAGTGCGAGCTCCAACATATGAAGCGCGATAAGGAACGGATGTTACTACTTAAGGCCTTGGCGCGGAGGCTGGACGCAGTGCTTTGTAGTTATGCAACGACTGCCTCGCTTGCCGGGCCGCTTTTTAGTCGCATGGCATCAGTAGACGAATTCGATGCGTTCGGCAGCGCACTCACGGATACTGCTTCCCGCCAGAAGCTGGTATATAATCCTTTGTTTAAAATACAGGACACTAGGTTTCGCATTTAGCAACCCTCGGCGAAAACATCAGTGTCTTCAGTGACCGCATCTTCGCTGGCCTATTCTACGACGAAATAACCCATTGCCTGACCTTCGGCAGGCAACAGGGGAAGAGGCCCATTTGGGGACTCCAATGTACGAGGTAGTTCTGGGAAGGTCGTGTATTCTTGGCTCGTATGCTATATGTTTCGTAGATGTCTTCAACAAGTGGAGTGCCGATCTGCGGTCTGACCGAGAAAAACTTGAAAAGGCCTTCAAGAACACATTCAGGAAGGACTACGATCGGATACACAATCGTGGGCAGATGTCGAAAAGGCGTTGTGTGGAAGGTCAGGCAATACTAACAATTCACGCAAACAACTTTACTTACTTGTCCATATTTATCCCGTACCGACAATATTCATGTTAACCATTAAGACGATGGCCGCTCTACCCGGAGTACCTAAGTCCAGGCAGTTCTTCCCAGCCGCAAAACGGCTTCAGACATTTATATTTTTGTAATAAAATTTTTAAATCCATACTACCTGTTCATAGACCACTTACTCCTGTATAACATATGGTATGGAAAAAAAAGAAAATTGGAAGGGGACACCAGAAAGGAAGGGGGTTTGTTTGGTTGAACAATGACATACAAATTTTCAGCAGTGATTCTGTGCGGAAACATTGGGGAGCCTCGGCAGGGATTGGAGGCCGAAAATTCTGCACAAAATCTGCGCCAAAAGTGGGACAACCTCGGCACATATTCTGATAAGAATATTCCTGACATCTTAACAGGTTCTAGTCAAAATTATTATTAGGGATGAAAACTAGGTAGGAATCCATTGAAAGGCGGAATTTGTCCAATCGAACAAATAGATATCAACTCGATATAGTTTGCTGCGAGGGAACAAAGACGGGAAAAAAATAAAACAACACGCAATATGTCCTTTCCCAAATTAATCTTGAGCCGTTATCAAGTCATTAAAAGGGATTAGCCAACGATAACAATTATCTCGTCAAGCAGTCACTCTGAATAAGGGCTCGTTTTTTGCTGTCCGACCACTTACTATCCCTTCGCGTTCGCGAACAGCGCCCAGCGCACAGCAACCTTAGTTAGTGGTTTACGAGCATTGCAGGGAAGGAGTGGTTGTTAGCTATAATGCGGTCAATTACGTAATGCAACGTCTAACGTTATTTTTCCTGTGCGTTTGTAGAGAGAAGCATGAGTAGACTACCAGAGAGAAGACTTTCGCAACGCTCGCGACGCCCAGCTATCACCAGGGCTCTCGATTATTTAAGCGGTGAAGGCCTTTCATCTCCAGTAAGAAACAATAAATTTAATATAAAAAAATTTGGGAACCTCTTGAGCCTAGTGGTGATGGAGGTAACTCTTTGGACACACTTCCTCTCGCAGAGGACACCATAACCGAAGGTAAGACCTAATGCAACTTATGCGTTATCCGTAGTCCGGCGTGAACCTTCGCTTAGTGATCGCATGGAGGACCTTGAGCACACCGTTGAAATAATGTGCCAACATTTGGCACGGGTGTCGCGAAAACAGGATTTAATCTTGGAAGGTATCCGCCGTCTGGTGGGCGGTCAATGGGACTTGGAGTCAGCTGTTTCTCGACGGCCAACTACCAATACCACGGTTGCCACTAGGCTTTCCATAAATCCCATAGGCCGTCCTTTAGGAGCGGTTGCGGATTTCCGTGCACTAAACGCGAGACTTGCGGGCAGTGAAGTTCGCAGTCAATTGTTAAAGGCGGGCAAATTTCATTAATAAGTTTATCAGGTATCCTATCTGGCCTACCTTGGCGGCCGTTCTCTGGATGATCTCACAAAGAGAGTGCTGTATGCCCTATTCGTGGATGACATCAGTCCCCACATAAAATTCAAAGGGTGGAAAATGAAAGAGGGACTACCTGATTCGCCAACCTACGGAGTCATCAAGGGTACGTTCTCACTCATTTTTGATCACTGCTCTATCCACAGAAGTCTTTGGCATTTGGAATGGAGACGGTAAGGCAACACTTGCCGATCT